TTATTAATATAATTATTATTAAAAAAAAAACCGTGTGATCCATGGTATGTTCATTTACACAAATGCCTTGATAAACTGGGGCTATTTATTAGGATATGTGCTAGTGGCTTACACCCAACCATGTAGAGTGTTATATCTTATTAGTATTATTTATTTAATAATAATACAAAATAATTTCTATAAATAAATTATTTAAAAAAGAAAAAAAACTTGTAAAGTTGATTGAAGTAGAGAAGTAAAAGTTTCAAACTTGTAAAGTTAGTTTGTGAGTGATGAGGCATTATTTTTAAAGGATAAAAAAGCCAATTTAAATATACATTGACTCACACTACCCTAAAGGTCAAATTGCCCCGAAACCAATCAAAAAATTTAAGTTAAATGTCTAATTTGGTCCCTCAATTATTGTACAGACCTCGATTTGATATCTAAACTAAAAAAATTCCTAATTTTGGTCCTTATTGTTTACAAATTTGGTCCATAGTTGGTTCTTCCATTAAAAAATAACTAACATGTCTGTTACTTAACAACAAAAAAACATTACTTAACCAATTTGGGGTCAAATTGGTAAATAATAAGGACCAAATCATGAATTTTTTTAGTTTAGGAATCAAATCGAGGATTGCACAATAATTGAGGGATTAAATTGGGGATTTAACCAAAAACTTACAAATAAATATGCAAAATTAGAGAAAGGAATACCATGAGAGAGATAGGGAAGATTGAGAAAGAAGTGAGAGAAAGGAACAAAAATGAGAAACAGAGAGATATAGAAAGGAGGGAGGAATCAAATTTTTTTAAAATTCGGATAAAACTTAATAAAGGAATTAGAGGGGAAAGGAAGAGAGAGAAAGGGCAAGGGAGTGAAAGATTAGTGTTAATTTTGTTTGAATAGATTGAAATAAATGAAAGAGAAGAGAGGAGAAAATTATATTTTTTATTTAATTAAGTAAATTAAAGAAAATTAATTATAAAATAAAAAATTTTATATATTAAAATTAAAGTTAACATATAAATTTTAATTACATTTTTTAAAAAATAAAAGTAAATCAAATTTCTCCAAATTTCTACAAAAATTAGAAATAAAGGATTTGGGAGAGTTTATTATCCCCTATCTATCTCCTTCGCTTTCCCTCTTATTTAATGAGTCTATCCCTCCAAATCCCTCAATCCAAACCAACCCTTATTGTTAATAGGTATTTGTGTCATTTCGATTGATCTTTGAAATGGCTTCCAACTACTTAGACATGTTTTCGACTCCTCTTCCTCTCCAACTCTAAACCCCCAAAATGTTGCCTTTGTAGTTTGTTCCAGCAAAGAAATAAAATAAAATAAAATCAAAACCATCACCATTTAAACAATGATTGTTTGGGCTGACGTTTTATAAAAAAACGTATAATGTTTTGCAGTTTAAATAGCAAATTATTAAAGTGTAATTGTTCTTTTGCTGGCTGTTGACGTCTATTTGTAAGCATGTAATAGATGAGGTGTAGTTATATTTACACAATTATATGTAAAATTACATAAATTTGTCAATTTTATTTTTAAAAATATAAGTTTTGTTTGATTTAGTTATTAAATATAATTAATAAAATAATTAAAATTTATTATTTAATAAATTAAAATCAATTTATAAATAAACATTCCTAAATACTTATTTGAGTCATTAATTAAAGAAATATTAATTAAATTATATGACCCCCCCATAGAATATCGCGTAGTCACCATACCCTTATAGATGAGCAGTAAAGGGTGAAGAGAGAATACATTTGTTCAAGGAAAAAAGTCATAAATTAATAAAATATTCAATTAAATAATGTGATCCCAATACGGTACCGTGTAGTCGCCAGACTCACCACAGCCTGATAGATGATCGGTAAAAGGTGAGAAGAGATTTTGGATTTGAGTTGCATAATATATGTGGAGTGAAATAAAAAATAAAAGATGATTGTCTTCTCATTTTACAACTAAGATAAAAAAATAAAAAAAAAGGGTGCGAAGAGAGAAGATCGAGCTGTGGTCCAGTGGATTTCAAGAACTCGAATCATCATCGGCCTGTTATGGGAGAACCGTGCTGTTTTGTTCTATTTGAAGTTACAATACTAAAAATAGATACAGGCGAAAAGGGAGAAAGTTGACTATATAAAGGGGTAGCACATACGAAAATTCATTTGAAGACATTATGATCTAGTCTTAAAAAATTTTAAAGAAGCAAATGCATATATTGATTTCCAGCCACTCAGCAGAATAAGCTGTGTAACAATTATACAATGCTTCTTCATCCAAAATCGGTTTAGAGAACACCATCAAGTTGAGATGTCATTAGTGATATAAAGATTAAACACAATGTATATGTTATGCTTACCAAACAATCGACATTTCAACTGCCAAAACATGATATAATAAGACCCTTAATCAGACTTCTGGCCTATAAATTTTATCCATGATTTGAAAAAACAATATTGCTAGTCCTTTATTTCCGCCCTGTATAAGAAAGGAGTTCGCATTTTTATTTCTAAACCATAATGCTTGAACAGGGTTCATAACAGCAACAGCACAACAGTGGCATGCTACAGAATACCTAATTCAGGAGCGCAGTTTGTGATGCATCCTAAATTCTTCTACATTGCATGAAACAAGAGCTTCAAACATGCCACAGAGTAATAACACAAACACATTGACATAATTCTATTTCTTCAACCCCCTGAACACAAAGCATAATATAAGTTCTTACGAAATGCCCCCTCCCCCTGAGAAGAAATGATAAAGAAGTTAAAAGCATTACACACTGATATGATATCCTAACCAATATCAACCCATGGCATACTTCTGGGTCCAGCTGCGTGCAGTGGCTTCATATTTGGCACGGTCTGTCTTGTACATGTGAGCAATCTCCGGAACAAGAGGGTCGTCGGGGTTTGGATCAGTCAGCAATGAGCAGATAGAGAGCAGAACCTGATTCACATTCAAGTTAAATATTAGACAACTACTTCCTAGAATAAGATAAATTTTATCAAATAGTTGGCTCGATTGGTCAAAATTCCATAAGCAGCACAATAAGTGCAAGAATAACCAATTTCTTAAACAAGAAACAAGAATAATGCTCTAAGAAAATAATTTGAGACTATTTCAAAACTTCAACTAGATTGATATAAACCTCTAAGGAACAAATGCAATCCAGATGCATGTGACATGACTGAATAAAGATTGAGAAAACTGTTTGATTTCCAATCCATTTAGAAATTAACAGCCTACCAACAGGCATTACAGTCACTTTGCCCAGAGAAGTTTGAAAAATTCTTCTTATTAACCGTGTAGACGAAAATAGCAGAATTGCACACCATAACAGCTCAAGGGAACAACTATTATGCACATATACTGTGTCAGTATAAACAAAAAAGGTCTTCACAACGTATCTAACCTTAGAAATGGTAAGTGCCGGGCTCCATTGCTCTTTTAGGATATCCAGACAAATGCTTCCATTGCTGTTGATGTTGGGGTGGAAGACCTTAGTCCTAAATGCAACCTGAAAAACAGAGAGCAGTGTTGTCTTAAACAGAGTGTGTAGATTAAAAAACAGTACGCTTGACATAAAAAGTAAGTTTTATCTGACCATAACACAACCATGGAGAAAAAGAAATTGTGGGTATAAGAAATTGATTACCTTAGGGGGCTTGAAAGGATAATCAGGAGGAAAATGAATAGTAACCAAGAATACACCACCTGCATATGGGCTATCAGAGGGGCCCATTATTGTTGCTTGCCAATGAAACATGTCTTCAGCTACAGGACCTATTACAGACAACAATGATTGATTACTAAACCATGTCACAATCACAATAGAATGGATGGTGATTCACAACCTATACGTATTAAAAGCTGGTCATCATTGCAGCAGATCAAAATCGAAAAATGAAAAAAATTTTACCACCCCACCACATTGGGTGAAGGGCTGGAGAACGTTTAATCAATAAGCTATAGGAAAAAAAACCAAGCATAAGCAGCGTGAAATATGTTCTATTTTATGGGGAGAAAAGACGCATAATCTTCTAATACATCAGGATAATAAAACTAGCCAGGGTTCTAACCCTTGACTGTGAAACATGAAAGAGATAAGTTGACCAAAATATGCATCAAACCCTACAAAGTAATGAGCATTTAGTAATCAATCGAGATTAACGAGACAAGAATCATTTTAACCAAACAAACAAACAAACAAAAGGACAAATCTTTAAATTAAAGGTCAACAATTACGAAATGGGATACAAAGTAGTACCCGCACTGCAAGAAGTGGGTGGATCCTTCTGCAAATCCTTGAGTTCCTTCAAAATCCGCTTTGAAGCCATGAAGCTTCACCAGATGGGGCCCTAGAACCTGCAAAATCACAAAGACCCATGTCGGGAAACAATGAAATCAGCCCAGAAACAAGAACTAACAAGACAGATCCCATCATCAAACAAAACAAACTTTTAAAAAAAGAAGAGAACAGCAAGGAAATGGGAGAAAGGAAGAGTGAAGAAGACGGGACAAAGGAGAGTACTTGAGGACACAATGAAATCAAGAGATGAAAGACGGAAATAGCGGTGGAAAAAGGGAGAAACGGGTTTCAAGCAGATCCAGGGCAGCAACCTCTCTCCCCCTGTACCGCTTATTCTCCAACCCCAAACCCCTTGATTATGCAGAACCTTGACGCACGCACGGCACAAAAGAAAAGTCGCGGAGCAGAGAGAACCCTTTCTTCCATTTGGAGGAATTCTTATACAGGTGTCCTAAGTTACCCTGCTGTTTCTCCCAATTGTCGTCCTTATCCATTTCATTTTTTT